CTGACCGAAAATTAGAAAATACCAGCCTTTAAATGTGCACAATGTGCAGAAATTTGTATGCAGAGTATACATTTTAAAATCCTGTATGTATGTCCTGGACGATTCTATTTGACTGAAATGCAAGCGTCATTTTATACTCAAAAAGAAAAAATAAAAATCAAAGATGATGGCAAAATAAGAACATTTAGAAACTATATTATTTTTTAAAACTTAGTTCAAAGTCAATTAAAAAAATACATGCCATCTACTTTGAAATTCACATATTTGTGAATACTTTATATTCACATATAAAAATATGGATATGGACATGGCTACCTTGGCCTTGTTGTTTCTGTTTACATCCTTTTCAGGACATCCGAGATCATATGGATGTTAATTACATAGTAGTTGTACAAATTCCTTACTTATACAGGGCGAAATCAGGAATTTTACATATGCTGTATTCCCGGGTGTTCTACGTTAACCAACCATTCAATGACGTGGTACATTGGCGTCGAAAGCAACGGTCATCAGATTACTTACTAGGTGCCATACTGTGGGTCAATAGTCAAAACTACCAGCGGCGGATCAAGGAATATCATAACGGGGGTGGGGTGGGGCAGTAGAAGGTAGGGGTTCTGGGGCTGCATTGAAGCCCCGGGGCCAGCGGTGGGGTTCCGAGGGTAGAGCCACCGGAAAAATGAGGAAATATGTATATAACAAATAAGTGTTTCCCCTTGATTTTAGGATAGTACAAAACAAATTTTAAAAAAAAAATCAAAAGGGGTGGGGTGGGGGTACGCCTGACGCGCCGGCCCTGGATCCGCCTTTCACTACCGTCAATCGAACTTCCGCGTCGCGAGACGGTAACGGTAACTATAAAAGGACTCAAAATATGAATACCGGAGGCTCTGAGCATAACACTTTTGGTTTTAGAACTTTTCAAAATCTTTTCATCCATGAACAAGCAATGTCATCTTCGCTAGCCAAGGGTTTCTGATACGCTTCTCTACTCATAATCATGAGGTGAGCAGCGTATCAGAAACCCTTGGCTAACGAAGAAGGCAATGTGTTCATAGAGGGTTTTAAAATTTTCTAAATGAAAATAATTTTATGCTTATATATTAAATATCGATTTTGACATAGGTGATTGCGTTATTAATATCACATATATTGTATGCCTTATATAATGACGAGAAGGTCTGAAAGAAACAGGAGTTTCTGATCTATACTAGTGATTATATTATACGACGGTCAGAGGTCTTCCCAATGTTTCTCGGGAATGCACGTTTACATAATTCAAGTGTAAATTATTTCCGTTTCCACTCTTGACATACATACATACTATCACACTTCATACGAGTGATCCGGAGAAAGTTCACTACCAATTCATAAGGACTTTTGCTATCAATTTATATCGACATCACAATAACAAGTTGTCAATGAAACACACTCGTTACACCTGTAGTATGGAGGGGACCGGGGCCCCATGTAGAAAACATGGACCACTGTGTAGTTGGTAGGATGTGTCAAAGAGAAGTAATCCTCCCCTTCCCGAAATGTCGTCGTGTTAGAGAAGGGACATTTTGTTGGACTGAGACCCCCCCCCCTCCCTCCAAAAAATCCCGATCCGCTCCAATCTCTCCTAGATTGGATCAGCTCATGGAACATGAATAGTATAAAGAAAAGTGATAAAAAAAATATAGTTTTGAGGGAATAAAAATAGAACACTACGATGTCTTTGAGATATTTACTGCTATCACCAAATCTGATGGAGGATGAGTGATGTTTATTCCACTTTTAAACAACTTTTATTGAAGTTACGTTTAATATAGTTCTTGATTTCGTAAATAAAATAGCACGAGCAGAAAGTAACTTGATGTCCCCTTTAATATTAATTATCACAAAATACATTGTACATGTATGTACATTAATTGCATGCAGTCCGTAACTTAATAACATACTTGAGTCTCATGAAAATCAGTGTTTTCATATCTAGACAATTAAGGGCCCATACACAAAATAGCCTGCAAATCATCATCTTATTAACCATTCAATCAAAAATGTTTTTATATACACTAGACATCTTTGACAAGACTGTAGCTCTACTTCTTACACTATTTGAACGACACTTGCACTTTTGTTATTGACTTTGAACTATAATTCAAATATAAATATACATTTATTTACTCCTTGTAATAATCAAACATTGATGAGTTTCATTGAAAATGTGACAACCACTGCATGTACCATGAATACCTTCTGAAGAGTAACAATTTGAAAATGAATTCATAGACACATCGTACAAATATTTGTTGTGCACATTATTTGTCAAAAGTAAAAAATGATGATGAGGACGGTGTCCAAGAAGACAAAAGTTTCAAAGGAATCAAGAAATGGCCTTTCAAAACAATTTTCTTATTCTACATTTTATAAAAAAAATGTCAAAATAGATTTTTGAAAATTGAAATTGACAAAGCTAAAAATGTTGCTCTTTTTGTACATGCTTAATTGCTGAGAAACAGGATTTCTAATCCTAGTTACAAGTAGTTCAAATATTGTATGTAGAGACATCTTTAATAAAATTATTTACAGATGAAACAAACTGGCATGGGAATGACATTTGTACATTCCTAAGCTCTCCTAGTCATCTTCCAAAGAAACTGAAAAGAACTCCGTGAACCAAACCCAACAATGGTAAGTTAAAAAATGGGGTCACATGCTCACATAGAAAAAAAAGACAAAATGTATATTTGACAACTTGATACCTGAATGTTTAAAACACAGTGTTTTTTGCTGCAGTATTTTATCACTAACTTTCAAAAAACAAAATACGATAAATTTTACAGACAAAAATATGAACATGTCAAAAATCTTATGGAAATGATATACTTATGAAAAAAAATTTAAAGATAAATAATCCACATGTCAGCTTTATATCCTTGACAATCTTGAAAACATACATTGATAGGATATAGGACTGAAGAGGAAACATTCCCCTTAAAGATAACCATCAGAGATTGCAAATCCTTCATAACGGACACTAGTCTGAAATATCTGACGATTTCCTGGCTTTTTTACGATATGATAGATCAAAACCGTAAAAACACCAGAAAAAACTTCAGATATTTTAGACAAACTGGACACAAAAGAACAATTATATACAAGTACTTCAACACAATCATGCAATAGACTATAAATAATAATGAAAATATAGGATAAACATCATGCATATGCATGTATATGAATCATAACTATGTTGTAAAATGAAACTTTTTTCTTTGCTCTTCAGAAGAATATTTTATTATTTTCAATTTCTTCTTACAGGCATTTTACATGTTTCAGTACACATTTAAATGTGAATCAGCATTTATTAAATAAACAATAGTTCTCCTTTTTAGAATTTTCAAAACACATAAAGAAAAAAGTCAATGCAGGATAATAAAAGGACTTTCTGTGAGGTACTATTTACTAAATGACTACCAGTAACTTGCCGACAAGTTATCAACAGATACCCCCCCCCCCCCCCCCCCCCCAAAAAAAATTACTATTACTTCTACCAATACATACGTAGAGTTTGAATTGGATACTGTGCTGTCTTTGAAATATTGAAGTAAAATAAGAATGTTAAATTCTTGTTACAAATAAAGACATGTAAAGCTATTTATAATATATTAACCTACATAGGTTGGCACAGGCATTTTGACTTGAAAACTTATGTAAAGCTGAGTGCAATATAACCTATATTATGTACATAATCATCCTTATGGTTATTTATGTACATTGTACATATAAAATGTTTGAAAGCTATGGACAACAATGCATTGTTTTATATCCAAATCATGCACAGCACTTAATCACCTCAAAAGCCAAAAATAACGCTTAACTACCAATACTTTAAAACACAGGTACTTGTGGTACACTCCTGGTCAAAATATTTTTTTCTCATGAATTATTCATCTAGTACTTATTTACAATGTATTCCATATGTAAAATCAAAAAAAAAAAAAGATTTAAAGACTTTCTCAAAAGGTCATACCCGTGGTATTGTTAAATACACCACCACGGGTATGACTTTTAAAAGAAATCGATAAATCTGTGTTATTTTTTGGATTTTTCAAAAGGAATACATTGTAAATAAGCACTAGATGAATAATTCATGAGTATAAAAAAAAAAATTTAAAGAATATTTTGATGAAGGGTGTAGATTGGGATTGGGGGTGGGTTCCTGTCAACAAGTGCCTGTGTTTAAAAATAAAATATCAAACAGCAATTAAATGTTTCAAATGATTCTGTTACGTGCATAGCAGGGTTTTTTTCAGCAAGGTGCCCCCTTTAGCTAATGCTTTGGTTCTTGGCAGCCAAACTTTTGTTAAATCAATAATCTTGCTAATGAGTACTGAACCCAAGAAAGATAACTTTGATCAGTATAATCTGTCTTTTGTTTTACTTGAAATTTTGCAAAGATGAAGAAACACTGGGTCTGACAAAAATAGTTCTCCCAAATTAATGACATACCTTTAATCAAGCAAGCAAAATGATAAATTATGCAACACCTAAAGAAACCCTTTACAATGTATAACACAAGTTTTTTTTTATCTAAATGTTATAGATTAATTGTGTAATGGGAGAGGAGAAAATACAGTGGACCAGACCGGGATTCTAACCAGGGTCCCCCTGAAACTCTGGTCAGATGCTCTACCAACTGAGCTATCTGGCCACCAGCGATCGAACCCTGCTGACTGCCACATTCCTTCATCCTTAAAGGTCTTTGGCCCTCAAAAGACCCCAACCCGGATCATCCCTGGCAGGCCTCTCACCTGTCAGTTCCAGGGCATGGCAAAGCACCAAATGTAATGGGAGAGGAGAAAATGCAGTGGACCAGACCAGGATTTGAACCCCGGCCCCCTGAAACTCCGGTCAGGTGCTCTACCAACTAACCAACTAAGCTATCTGGCCACCGGGGATCGAACCTGGCTGACCTCCACAATTGAAAGCCCCCCCCCCCCCCCCAAAAAAAATCCAAACAAACAAAACAAGGAGTCTGTGAGCCAATGCTCACTAGTAATACCCCCTGCTCTGATGAGAATATACTCTGTCTATTATGTTAATATATATGTCGATTTCAGTTATGGGCAGATGCAATAAACAGGAAGTTGACATCAGATTCATATAGAAAAATTCCCACTTTATGGAATGCCTCATCGAAGAAAGTGCTACAATTTCAAGCATCTGTGATGAGTAGTTGCTGAGAAAACTGCAACCACAATTTGTTATGCATGAAAAGGACAGCCGCACAGATGAACAGGAAGTTGACATCAGGTTTAAACAAAAATGAATAACACCATATGGCATGCATCAACAAAGTATGTGCTAAAATTTCAAGCTGCTGAGAAAACAGTGACGAAAATCTGTTATGCATGAAATGGACAGATGCATGGATGAACAGGAAGTTGACACTGGATTTGAACAAAAATGAATCCAGTCATATGGCAATGGCATGCCGCCTCAGAGAAGACTGTGTCAAAATTTCAGCCATCTGTGATGAGTAGTTGCTGAGAAAACTTACTATGACCAAAATGTTTTTAGAAACAGACAGACAGATGGACAGACACACAAGGGTAAAACAGTATACCCCTCTCTCCTAAGGAGTGGGAGTACAATAACTGATAACCAATCTTGCCTGCAAAACTGTTGAAATATAACCTAACTAAATCTTATTTCTACATATCATATCATCATCAGAAGCAAAAAAAAGCCCTTCTGCATTTATACAACTTCTGATACTTCAGTAATGATGAAAATGAAAAAAATACCATCTACACATGCTAAAGAATGACAATGAAATGATCTACACATCACCTGCCTTCACCTAAAATATCACAAATTATACTTGTATGGCACACGTGAAAACCCTTTTCTTTTGAAGGACTCATCTTTGTTTAAAGATACTAGATGTAAACATGTACACTTAGTGTTAGAACAACTTAACTTCTCTGAACATATTTAACAAAACAAACAAACAAACTGGACATCAGGAGCTGTGCTTCCTCAGAATGTTATGAAAATACAGATTTCCACAAACACACAGTAGGATTATGGTAAAGGCATTGTAGATAATCATTCGCCGAAACTTTGGTTCCAAGTCACCTTGTCTGTACCAGAAAATCTGCAAGACATTCCAATACATGTATAACAAAGTTAAAAATACACCTGAAAAAAAAAAATCAGACTTGAATCTAAAAGATTTTATATAGAGGAAGGGGAACTACAAAGTAAGATAGAAATATAGGCAAGCAGCTGTACAACTCAAGAGGCTGGGAATTTTTCTACTTTATTGCAATCTCTCTCCTTACCAGAAGTAAATGAGATCCACATATCATTACGATGATGATGGCGAAGAAGACATTGATTCCATTTGGAGGGAAGCTTGGGAAAATGAATGCACTGATGAGGGTGACCTGTGTAACAAAAATAAATATATGGAACAAATTGTACAATATCATATCATAGTTAAAATTTAAATACTGCAGTACACAAAATTTCTATTTAGAAAAATTCCTCTGACTTAAATTTGGACCTAGAAGGTACGCTGGTAATGCGGATATAAGCAGTGGATACATGTAATGTTTTGATGCCTTGAGCTTTAACCAAAAAAAAGGTGGCACATTAGCTCTCTGGTTTTCCATTACAATTTTTTTTTCTTCTTTTTTTTCAGACTAGACAACAAAACATTGGCAACTACCCGGTACATGTAACACCTATGATTTACATTTTTTAAAATACATTTTTTGCCTTCATTTATTGAGATACAATGATTACTGTAAATTTCTTATTTTTAGCGAGTACTTATTATTGCGAATGGGCTCTTCAACATCAAATTGCGAGAATAAGAATTCACGAATGGACAGTTGATCAAGAAATTTTACAAAGATTTTAGCACCATAAAAATAAAGGCGAGTAATTTGATTTCACGTGTGGTGCTTCTCACGAAATTACGCGATAATAATTAAATTACACACGTATATTTAGGAATCTACAGTATATTCGTTCATCTTAACTTTGTTTCAATCATTATAAAAGAAACATTTGGGATCTATGGAGGGAATGTGCAGAATTAGAAAACATTGTGGATTAAAAAATCATTCTAATTAAACAATTGAATTTAAGACAGGGCCTTAAAGCTCACATAACATTAGGCAAATTTCCAGAAATCAATGTAGAACTACATACCGATAAATATGTTTCACTGTACTAGATTTTATACCAACTGATACTTACTGCAACAACAATACTTGTAAATACTCCTACAACCAAGTTAATCATCCGATCCTAAAAATAAACAAGATATAAACCATATTATTCAAAACTTATACATGTATATCAAGAATGACAGCTCCTAACCGCACAGAAATTTTGAAAAGAGCATGCCTAAAGCAAATTTTTAATTATTTGAGTATTAAAACTTTATTTTAAGTTTCATTTGTGTTGGTTGTGATTCTTTATAGCCATATATGGCGTATGTACAATGAAAATTATTGGACTTAAATTATAAGAACTTATTATTTGTATCATTACTTTATATAAAGATAGAACTTTTCCGTAAATTACAAAATCTAAATCAATTGCGTTATAAAGATATCACAATTTAATTTGCATTCTCGGAATTTTCTCTGACTCGGAAGAAAATACAAAAGATTTAAATAACACATTACAGAGAAGATAAAATTGTATTATTAGATGAAACGAGGTGTTCTCCGTGTTCAGAATTGTATGAAAAGCTTTAATTTAAATGTATCAACTATATTTCTTTACTTAATTTTGTATTTTTCGAAAATATATTTTTTGATCAGTTACGCCATATATGGCTTTAAGCACTGGTAGTCAATTGATCTTGTTGGCGCAATTCAAAGATCTAACAGCAAGCAACCCAAAGCACTGCTTGTTAATGCAAGCTCTTAAAGCAATGCAAGGGCAAAGAGAAAATTAGGACTTTGCACATGCATTGATCCATTTTTTTTTCTCACAGTTACTCTGGACCCACAATGCATCAGCTAGCTACAGTCTCATGAGAATAACATCAAAGTGCAACAAAAAGTAATTTCGCCTTGATTTGTTGGATATATGTTGAAGATACTGTATTTACCTAGAAGTACTTTTTTCCGCGTGATATTAATTTACCCTCTGTACGCGGTCACAAACTTTCAGCGGAAATTTGTCCAAGTGTACTTTATATAAATGTAAGGCATGTAGTGACAGTTTAAGAAATCCGCGTAATTTTCTACCCGAGGATTAAACAGAAATTGAGATTCCGCGGAATTATGACCCCGTGGAAAAAAGTACATCTACAGTAAATAGAAATGTTCTTCATTTAATTTTAGCACTGTTTCAGCATCTTTTTGGTATTGCAACTTATAAACGAGGTCATGTCTAAACCCACGTGTGTCTGACAACCCAATCTAAATTAAAACAATAAAAGTATCTCCGCTCGCCCTGACAGTTGCACCATCAACACATTAATTATTTAAGTAAACTTGATTTTATTTTTAAAAGTATTAAATTTTCATCTGCTCATTTAGTCTCAGGTTGCTGGTAGTCAATCGACCTAGTTGAACACTGTTGGAGCAATTAAAAAAATCTAATGCTAATTAGATAAAATGGCGGGATAAATACTTTAATGTTTTCTCTTATTAATATTATCATTCACATGATGCATAAGACTTATGCAGAAAGCTAAATTCAAGAATGCAGCAATTCTAGGATATAGATAGAAACACTAACTCTAGGCTGCTGGTGATCACCAAATAGCGGTACGTCAGCGGCATCCCTGTACCGATTATCGGTAGACTGATAATTTCCGGTGCTCATTATGTTAATTTTAGAAATATTCAGTCAAAGACAAAAATCTCTTTTCACGTCTTCATGATCTTGGAAATTTTCACATGACTTTTTGAAAACTTCCGGTTTCACTTCAATCGGCAATCCTCGGCTGACTCCGCTCCGCTCCATTCAAACCTCGGATGTGATTGGTGGAGGAATACGCATCAGATCCTTACATTTCTCCGCCGGAAACTGCCTTATCACTCATTTCATATTTCGCTCTGCATAACGTTCTTTGAAAATGTTTCTTAATTTGTGGAATTATTTATCGTAAACAGGTTTTGATTACAAACTCATGTAAGTAAGCTTTGAAAGCAAGAAAAAAATGTTGAGTGTGTCATAAAATAACGCCGATTTCAAATGTATGACATTTGAAAGAAATTCAAATAAGATCACATGACTTAATCAGCAAGATGGTAACTCACCGTTGACATCCGAGGTTATGTGCGAGGTACGAGTCATCCGAGGAACTCCGAGTGGTTTCACTTTTAAACGAAGTTTTGCTAAATCGTTCGCATAATAGTCGATTGCGTTGCGTACTATCTCGCACAGGATCCGTGGTTCAACAGTATAAAAAGTGGTGGCCGACCAGGTCAATAACAGAATAACAGTCATCGATTTTCAAATTAATATTATATTTGAAAAAATAGTTCCCCTTTAGGTTTTAAAAAGTATTTAATATCATAATAACAGAAATTTCTTTTGAAGAAGGCCAAAAATTAAGAGATTTTTTTCCTTTCTTTTTTTGTTGCTTTTTAAAAATAGCACGATATCAGCTGCAGCTAAATAAATAATACAACAATACCTGAAACTCAGCCGCAATTGATGACATGATTTCCTTCCAAATAAAACATGTAAAATCAAACTGATTATTATTTCCGACTTGAAAACAGAAACAAAAGAAGAATTTAGCACTTTAATGAATCCCTGAAATCTTTATGCAAAAAATACCGTATATTTTGAGAATAACCCAAAAATTTTACTTTTTTTCATAATCATAATCACTCATTGAGTCATATCGATACATATATGGGATCAATTATCGTTTGTTTCCGAAGTATTGTAATGTGAAATAAATACCCAAATGGTCTACACACACACATCAATCATGCATACATACTTAGTACATACACAGGAAACGTTTCAATACTATTCAATCGGATGTACAGTGTTTCCGTAAATCACATTATTAATAAAATGTACTTAGAGCATTGAGCTCACAAAATGATACCCCCGTCACATGTAGGAAAAATTGCTAAGTTAATTGTTTGCTATTGAAAACCATTTTTGACCAGTACATATAAAATAGAGGGTGAACTATGGCATTATGTACATGTGTACTAGTATAATTTATGGAAAAGGTACATTGTACAACAATTTTTTAAAGGCCATTATAGATAGATTAAAGAATCTACACAGTAGTGAGCTTTTTTTATTTATTTAATTAGACAAAAAATGAGGTGCAAGTCATACAAATACAGTAAACAAATATGCATGTATAGTAACACATATTTTCATAATATTAAATGCATCACGTATGAAGTTATAAATATTTCTCGCTGATTTAACATCGGCTGGTTTAAAAATTTCATGAGATATATCATACATTTGTTAAAAAATGTACAAAATAAACTTGAAATCGTAATTTTTCATAAAGAGGACATACAAATAAATAAAAAATGACGTTCATCTTCAACAACATTTCTTACATTTGGTATCTCTCGCATTAATTGGATTAGGGGTCGAAGTAGTTTGAAGTTGTTTTTTCCGATCGTAGAAATCCTCCAGACCGGTAAGTCTACGACTCCACTCGCATTGAAAGATGACCCATCTAATAAACTTAGAAATGAGATGTGATAAGCGGGTTGGGATGGGGTTAGGGTTTCGGCGAAGGTCTAGAAAAGACAGTGTTCATTGTTACAACGCGAAATGTAATAAATAGAGAATATTACGTACTAAAATCCATATCATATGTCATATCAGCCCGAGTGGCCCCATATCAGCCCGAGGGCCGAAAATGTGACATATGATATACCGGTATATGGATTTTAGTATGTAGTATTCTATTTATCATATATATATTTAAAATACTTTATATGCGAGTTCACATATGGTGGTTGAAGAATGTAGGTTTGTCAGCCAGAATTTTGTTGACCAGTGTGATTTCGCTTTTTGATATATAGACAAATGCGATGAATCTAAAACAATTTATTTATTTGTACTGGCAGGTGTAATTATAAAATTAACTTCAATGGGCAAAAGAACACAGAAATTGGCATTAACGTCATTGGCTTTCTGTTCTCAAACGAGTCGCGATTTTGTGTTGACTTTCATCAGTGATGGGAGAAGACTTGTTTGGAGAGCGAAGGGGAAAGACATTCCGCATTTCTTAGCATGACAGATTTGATGGAGGTTCGGCGATGATTTTGGGAGGCCATAAGTGTCGACTAGACGACTACAAAACTGATCTGCACATTATTGAATGTTCCACGACAGGTTTAAAATACCGGAATTATAATATCTTTGTCCTTTTGTTAGATCCATTGCAGGTACTGTGGGAAACTCAAGGATTTCATCTGATTTAAATAGAGATTAATTCTAGATATCATAGAGGCTTAATCGCAAAGTAATGTTGAAAAGTAAAACAATTCAGCGTATGGACTGGCAAAGACGTTCCCGAGACCTGAACCCAATTGAACATGAATTGGACGTTCTTCTCCAACGCATTTCAGCTTTTCCAACACTTATCCAAAATCGACAGGAGTTTCAGACAGCGGTGGTGAAGGAATGGCAACATATCCTAGCTCACGGCTGTTGCGCAGCACGGATCGGCGCTGTACATGTAGGGTTGTTATTGCTTCGCACATCAAAAATAGTTACAGAAGTATTAGAACTGTTTCTATATAAAGAGCTTGAGATCAAAAACTGTTATTGGGATCGGTTTGTAATTATTAATTTACCAATTTAATCAATTACCCAATCTGACATTATCTAATCAATCCACAATGTCGTGATTGAAATTAAAATAAATAGAATTAAAACTTTAAAAGTATTTAAATGGTAATTGTGCCTATACCATATATTTGGATAAGCAACCACTGATACCGTATATAAGGATTTTATTTTTATTCTTCATTCAAATGAAACTGTGCATTATACAACATGTACTTTCTAATTATTTTTACGTAAAGAAAAAATTTGTAAATCCCATGCATTTCAAGACAATCATATTGTTACAACTTCCAGATAATAAACACGGAGAATGTTTTAAAAAAAATATATGGTAGAGATTCATTTTCTATCATTCAATGACTGTCAGTTACACAAATTATATGCAAGTTACATGAAATTCATTGCAATCGTTGTCTAACATATATTACTGAATCTCTTTTTCTAAAACAAAATACGCATCATCTGTCCTTGTATCTTGACCACTCATGGCCCCTTCGTTATTAATTGGCGACTTCCCAGTTTTATTCGAGTTCATTTGATCCAGAGAATGCAATGGCTCTAATATTTTGTAGTCACCATTTGTCATCCGGGCATCTGAGGATACTTCCCGGAAATGATCATATTTCGCACCAACTTGGCCCTCATTCTTTTCGTTCAGATGGTTATATATAAGTGGAGGACAGTCATAGCTATATGAAGCACCTGATTCGCTACTTCCTGTACAAGTCATCTCTTTGGGTATATGATACTGAAAACAGAAGGAGTTTACTTTTGACTAGGACAATAAAAGAAAAACATATTTTCTTTGGTAAAGAAATCAATGCTACCAGTATTTTCTTCAAGTAAAACGGCACCAATGGCAAAAGGTTAATTTGTTTTATCTTTATAATAGCAGCGGTTTCTGTGTTTCCACAAACGAATTTGAACATACATATGTATGCATTGCATGCAGTTATTAAAGTTCTGACAAACTTGATTAATTGTAGGTCTTTAAAACTTTTGAATACTTTTCCTGAATCTAATTAAACATACGTCTAGGAATCTTGATGTACTATACAAAATGTACAAGTAAATGTTGTAGCAATAATTACTATGAGGCGTTGTTTTGGTATTTACTGCCAAAAAGTGATATCACCTATTCGAATCGGTGATATCACCAATTCAAATTGAATAGGTGATATCACCTATTCGAATAGGTGATATCACTTATTCGAATAGGTGATACCACCTATTCGAATAGTTGATATCACTTTTTGGCAGTAAATATCAAAACGGCTCCCCATAAATTACTTACGTTAGCGTCTTCGATATCGCAGTACATGTAATTATTTGTATGATCATTTAGTTGTCCTGTTTTAATGTCTTTTTCTCCTAATGTTGTCGCCTTGGGTGCTGTGTTTGGTGCATCTCTAAAAGTGTAAGATATAACATAACACATCAGTATCGTCATGGTGACAGAATTCAGAAAAAATGTCATGTTTTTAACCTTTCTTTTCATAAATTAAAAAAGTCTGCATACAATAATTTGATAATTGGAACTTTTTTTTATTATTTATGAAAAGAAAGGTTAAAAACGTCAAACACCTGTGCTGTCAATGTGCTATTCATCTGCCGCTTATATGACAGGCTCAACGAAAATGGGAAACTCGAACACTCGAAGTGAAAATATAACATTTTCTGGGTACCTTTCTTTAATACGTCTTTGAAAATTACGGAATATCCCAAGCACACCAAAAGATACAATGACACCAAATAAAAATCCAAATATGGTTCCCAGAGCAATTCCTAATTTCAAAGAGTTAATAAGATTTTCCTGTTGATTTTCTGAAAAAAAGAGAGAACAGTTTACATGTATCATATTTTATGTAGATAATTATCAGGTAGCTTTTTATAATTGGGAACATATATAAATACTAATAAAGAGTGTTTTGTTGGTTTTTGCCTTCTGAATTACAATTTATTCAGAACCTACCTTTTTCTACTGGGACGGATGAAGTGGAACTTATAAGATGTGGAAATGGTCCATCTATATAAGGAAGAACAAAAAAGAAAATGATAACGTATTCTGTAAGTATTTTATTTTGTATAAAATATATTACATGTAAAATAATTTCTCTTTTATTTGGTAAATCATAATTTTCATGGGTTTTTTAATCGCATTGTGTTTGGTAGCATACAAAGGTCCACGGATTTATGGTCCTTACGAAATACAATGTACTAGCATTGAAATTTTAAAGAAGAAGGTACGGTTTTGGCTTTATTGTGCCCTAAAAATTTTTTGTTCTTAAAAAGTTATGAAATTGGCTTTAACAATAGTTGAGTCTAATCTTTAAATTGTGTCGAAGGGAGAATATTTAAGAAAATGGAAAAAATATAATAAGTTAAAAGTACTAAAAGTCTAATCAAAAGTTCAGGATCTTTTCACAAAATTTGTTCATATCCATATGGGTACAAATACCAAAGGTACAAGAGAGACATCTGGACATGGATATTTTAAAAAAGGTTATTTAAACAATTTCCTCATTATACCAATGCATGATAATTGATACAATTTTTAGCATATGTATCTATAGTTTTACTTTATACTCCTACAAGATCCTGAGATAACATCCCTAATTTTCTTAGTGAATATTCATAACCAAAGAAGAAGGTACGGTTTACAGTGTAGGTTTTATTGTGCCCTAAAAATTTAATGTTCTTAAAAAATTATGAAATTGGCTTTAACAATTATTATGGTTGAGTATATGAATATGATAAATCATTGAAGAATATGGCATGAAGGAGGACCGTTCTGGAAATATGACTTCAGTAATTTGGTACAATACTAATTTTAATGCTGAAAAACCTCAGAATGACTCATTTCTGTGCTTATTTCCCTTCAGAAAAAAAGTGCCTGCCACTATCTCCCATTTCAATTTTTGGATACCCGATATCTTGTGTAAACTGCTTTGAAAAATCATATATCTCAAAATCTTTGTAGGCGACTGTGGCAGAGTACGTTCTCCGAAAGAAAATTTCATAAATAATTTAATTCTTCCGCAACTTTTTAAGAAAATACGGGAAAATGCACAAGTTAGTGACGCCACAATTAGCATTAAGGAGGTCGTATGGGAAGAACGATTTGTGTATTCCTACTGTATGGAATTCTCATGATTCAGAGCGAATGAATTTAATTTCTTATATCAGTTTCATATTTTAGAAAAATACGGGGCTTATATGTATATACCGGTATGTTATTTGAACCCCATGTACCAATCATGGTTTGGGTGAATAAAATGAACTTGAACTTGAGCTTAATTTGTATTGAAACTGTACCTTGTTCTTACAGAACCTTGTCTTAGTTTTCTCTTTAACTAATTAATCAATTAATTAAGTAGTGATAAATATTTTCATGTCAGCAACAAATATTTTCCCTAGACTATAAGCCTCGAAAATTTACTTTCCCGAATATAGAATGATTTTACATTGAATTAAATTCTTCTTAATCATATTAATTGTATAAATCAGTCTAGCTTAGTTGGGCATTTCCTTACACATAATGTAATATTTCAAAGATTCTCTCTCTTCCTTTGTTTTCGTATCATCAAATATGTACAAAATATTTTATTATAATTCAACAATAAGGAACGTTGAATGCTGTAAAAAGAAAACACTGCTGCAGCTGCCTCATACCTACAAATGTGCGATTAACGTTCAATCTCTTCAAAATTGTATTTTCTTCCTCATTTTGACAGACTTCTCTGGCCATTGAGAGAACAAACCTTTCGAACAGACATTCCTCTTCTTCTGGGTCGGGATCTGTCATGCAAAGACAAAATCGTTATGTAGTAAACCCACAGTCAAAATATTAATACATGTATATTCGTTAGGACCGGTGCACACGGTAAAGCTTGCCTTATAAGTCTAGAACCTTACGTTTTGCAGGACGTACGGCTCTCATGTCCACACGCTAAGGCAAGACTTACAATATTATAAACAACATTTACATAATTTCCATGTGTTTTTGAACCATAAATAATGTGCAATTTTAAACGGAATAATAGAATACTAGCTAGGACTTTGAAATAGTTTTACCAACCAGTGCATCCATACTTCTTAACAAGGAATAGGTGGTTAACTGAAGTATTTGCGGATATTTTCATTATATTAATCGAATATACATGGTGTTCTTTCTTCAACATACCAACGTGTATGGTTTTTAAAAAAAATATATTGAACTTTGGGTGAATGATTTTTCAGCTAAGTCTTGTATTAAAGGTGCATGGACACAGATTTGAAATTAATATTTTCTGCATAATATTACGACATATTTTTATAGCATTTCACTCAACAATAAATTAAAAATCTTATTTCATTGAAAACTTATTAAAACTTGAAATTTTTTGGCGGGTTTGATTGACACATCCTTACACTTTCACAAATTTTAATTTTATTCTTAATACTTAGGAAAAAAGGCAATCTTGTTGTGTATAAATGAAAAATATTAAAATTATAATCCAGAAAATTCAGAGTAGAAAAGTCCAAAAGAAAAACATACACATAGTATATTGTCAGTCCGTGCAGTTGTGGTGAGTAGACTTTAACAATTGAACGCACCCGGTGAATCGTAAACATCAACAATAACAGAGCTCGTTCCCTGTTTACAAAAACTGTTTACGTTTAACCGGTGTGATCGATTTGCTAAGCTCTGTACAAAACACTTAGCTCGGAATGACGATACTTAAAACGGAGTTTTGCTTTCTAACAGTTCTACCCTGAATTTAAATTATTTTTCTGGATTAAAGTTTTAATATTTCTCATAAATACACAACAAAATTGCCAATTTTCCTAAGTATTAAGAATAAAATTAAAATTTGTGAAAGTGCAAAGCTAGATGTGTCAAGCAAGCCCGCCAAAAAATTTGAAGTTTTAATAACTTTTAAATAAAATAATATTTTTAATTTATTTTTGTGCGAAATGCTATTAAAATATATAAGTCGTAATATTATACAGAAAATATTAACTTCAAATCTGTGTCCATGCACCTTTAAGAAAAAGAGCAGTGTTCTGTTCCTAAGGGCCGGTACATACGGTAAGGCTTGCCTTATAAGTCTTGGAACTTAAGTTCTAGCCTCACCGTGTGTTCATCCATAATACACGTTTTTCGAGCCTTACAAGTCTGACTTCGGAATTTCACTAAATAATGTGTATGATGCAGTGTGAATGCACTGGTCGGTAAAACTATTTCAAAGTCCTAGCTAGTAATCTATTATTCTGTTTAATAATGCGCACTGTTTATGGTTCAAAAACACATGGAATTTATGTAAATGTTGTTTATAATATTGTAAGTCTTGCCTTAGCGTGTGGACATATGAGCCGTACGCCCTGCAAAACGCAAGGTTTTAGACTTATAAGGCAAGCCTAACCGTGTGTACCGTTCCCAAGCCAGACTTGTAAGACTCGAAAAAAAACGTGTATTATGGATGAACACACGGTAAGTTTAGAACTTAAGTTCTCAGACTTATAAGGCAAGCCTTACCGTGTGTTCCGGTCCTTAGACATATTGTTTAAATATTCTTTATGCCATAACTTTATATACCTGTGCAGGCTTGGGTAAACTCTAGTGGATCTTCACCAGCAACAGAAAAATAAGTCTTTACAGCCCTCGCAGTAAATCCAGGTTTATCACCTTTCCCTGTACATTGTACCCTGTAACATTTGAATTTTCATAATAATAAATATTATTCTTAAAGCGATGCAAGAAAAACACAAGTAAACGAGAGAGAGAGAGAGAGAGAGAGAGAGAGAGAGAGAGAGAGAGAGAGAGAGAGAGAGAGAGAGAGAGAGAGAATCACATATTTTCGTGGGGTCAAAATTTCGAGGTTGGGGGAGGGGGGAGGAATATTGCTTTGTGGGGATTTGGTTTCTAGTAATTATATATAATGCATATGAAATTTTACATTTCGTGTTGATCATAAATTTGTGAATCTCTCCACACCTGGAAAAGAACGAAAATTAACCCCTACCAAAAATAGTGATTTTACAGTTTCCTCGATTTGATTCAGAAATTCATTGTTCATATCATGCAACATTTTTTCAATTTCATGTAAATATAAAAAGATTTTTTTTCTCTCCTTTTGCACTTAAAAACAGATATAGAGGGGGTTGGTTATAATTTTATACTTACTGAAGCGAAAACTGTTCCAATGTTGGAGGTATGGACGAGGAATGTATCAATTCACAAAGAAAGAAAAGTAAAAGCAAACCTGTAAAATCGATATACAAAATTATACATGTATGTATAATGTACATTTTATAATTTAAGAAAAAATCTTCACTTATTTCAAGACGCTGAACAAAGTGAATATTCAATAAAACTAGATGAAGGTGGATCATGAAAAGAAAATTGCTCGCTTAGAAATAATTTCCTACGCATTTCAGACCATTTACATTTGGGTATTTGTCAGTTAGTTTGTCAGTTATTATCACTTGTTTGTCAGTTAGAATTTTAATACATTAAAAAGGTCTTGCTCATGCCTCTTTACATGTATATATAATCAGATACATAGCATCAAAGAGGGGTGGGGGGGGGGATATCCACCCCTTTTTTCCAGACACAACTTTTTAGTATTGAAAATGTTCATTTATGTCATACCCCCCTTTTTATTGTTGTGGTATAGCCAAATAGGGGACATGTAGTAATGACATGATTGGGTAAATTTTGGTTCTTAAAGAAGTTGGAACCTACCCGACCGCACGGAATAGGATTTTTGACCTAAGAGAATTTTTCTCACTTCTTTTTTGTCAAATTTTTAGGAGAGTCGATTTTTTTCACACTCGTTGCCCTAGCTGTAATAATGTAGCCCTTTCCGATTTTTTTATCTGATGTTTTCTGGAGAGGGCCCTCCCAAAAAAAAAGGGAGAGGGCTACATTATTGCAGCTATCGTTGCCCCCTTTCAAAAACGATGATACATGCACAATGCACGTCCCCGATAAATTAGGTCCTACTCATAATAAGTTATGACTTTTAAGGGTTATCGCTATATACATTACAGTAATCTTCATCTGCCACAAATTAATAATGTTCAGTATTAATATAAAATAATGAATTAAAAAAAATAATATTTTTTTACGATGAATGTTCATAGTTAAATGAAACGTCGTCACCTCGTCACCTCTAGCAAAAATGTGAATATCCATACCCAAAGTATTCCTTTTAATCCTGAACATAACTTATGCCCTAACTTTTTCTTGCCTGTTTAATTATTATTGTTTCATACCTTTACTTATATTGGCCAACTTGTCATTATATTGCACTTGTATCACTTCCTTTGTTATTCAGTGTGTATCTGATGAATTAGTATGATTATAGCACCAAAAAAGACATTGAATCACTACATGTGACAAACAGAGGACACGTTATAGTATATAAAAATAGAAGATGTGATCTTCCGCTAAATCTCCCCCAGTTGGACAGATTATTAAAAATCTCATATTCCCCAACTTGTACATGAGTTTTTGTAATGACTAATATATGACTAAGGGGGTACTTCATTTATATATTTTCTGATATGCATAGGAACCGGAGGCGGGCTAAGGGGGTGGGGGCATGTCCTCTTTTTGTTTGCAAAGATAAACATAAGTACGGGTATTGTAATAATCTGATACGTGTTTGTTCTGGGCTCCAAATTAGAAATAAAATGTTCTGTTCGGTATTGAAAATTGGGGCTTAACCCAATACCCCAAACACCCTCCCCCTGGTCCCCCACAATATTTGGCTTTTGTTTGGTTTTGCCCCCCCCCCCCTGTCAAATTGTAAAATAAATTGTAATTAATTGTAAAAATTAATTAATTGTAATAAATTGTAAAAAAAAAATGTTCTGTTCGGTATTGAAAATTGGGGCTTAACCCACTACCCCAAACACCCTCCCCCTGGTCCCCCACAATATTTGGCTTTTGTTTAGTTTAGCCCCCCCCCCCCTGTCAATTTGCTTCCATCGCCTATGTCTCTTCATGCAGTTAAAAAGTATGAAAATACAAAAGCCTTGAATCATTAGGAAAAACAATTTTATATAGGGGCCTATAGAAGATTTGGAAAAAAAACTCTAGGATTCACTTCTCATATGCTGCTTTTTCTTCACACTTTTATACTTTATAGCAGTAAAAATAAGTGACTGATGAAGCGTTATAAAGTATAGAAGTAAAAACGAGTGCCTGTGATGAAGAGTCATAATGTTTTCAAATCCTACATTTTCATGATGATACAACTTGTGGTATTACACTTCTCCATGTCAGACCTAATTACTAAGTCATATTACATTATACATCTATAATATTCAATTGTAATCAGTGTAATCATATTATAATAATTTGTTCACGCCCCCCTGAGGGCCCTTGATTGGTGAATATATAGAGAATATTACATACTAAAATCCATATCATATGTCATATCAGGCCGAGTGGCCCAATATCAACCCGAGGGCCGAAGGCCCGAGGGCTGATATGGGGCCCGAGGGCTGATGTGACATATGATATGGATTTTAGTATGTAGTATTCTATTTATCATATATTTAAAATACTTAATATGCGAGTTCACATATGGTCGTTGAAGAATGTATGTGCTTGTTAGTGACATTTTTCTTTTAAAATTAAATAGAGCCAATTTTAGGTAACTGGAAAAAAATTAAGACCACAAATGTCGTTTAAGAATTATTTTATATGAATATTTAAATAAAATCAAGTAAATTAACTTTTAAACTTAATACAAACGTTACTTCCGGTTTGATATGGATTTTCGGCCCGCCGGTCCGATACGTGATATGGCTTTTCGGACCGGTCCGTGATATGGGGTATTGTGACGTCACCAGTATCACACCGTGCAGAATCGGTGTATTTACTACTAAGTATATGATAAAATAACATATTGTATTGTATTGTTTTAAAATAATAATTGTATAATGACTGCTGAATCCAGGGTGAAATGTGATAATACACATGTACTACGTGAAATAATTACAGTTTTTTTTTTAACTAGAAATGTATTATACCTAAAAAAAAAATTGTATATGTAGGGTAAAATGACAGACTTCTGAATTACTCATAGAAACTTACGTGTTTCCTTACGCAAGTGTACATTTTAGTAACTCTAAAATACTTGTGAAAAGCAAAGCCTTGAACATCCCTGCGGCTAGATCCGCGCGAGAATTCCAAAAATGGCGCGGGCTCGAAGTACGAAAAAATAAAAATTCCCAAAACAAATTCAGAAGAAATTTTGAAGTGACACTGAGAGAACTGACAAAGGAAATTTCAACATTTGGGGGTGAACAGAGTCTCTTTTTCATCTTGCTGAACTAAAATCAGTTTATAGGTAAACATATACAGCAATATTTTCTTTATTTTCTGAATGGTTTAACATTGTGTGAATGTTATTTGTTTCCTGTCTCCACAGCCTGCCAATCCTTTAAAAAGTTTACAGTTTTTCACATTTAAGGATTTCCCAACTTCCTTACATGTATGCTTAATTAACAATACCATCAATAAAAAAATGATACTGAAGTTTCATGATGATTATTATAAGTGACATACGTATGTATACCAAATTTATGTTTCCTTTTAAAATAATTTTCCTTTAACATTGTTTAAAATGATTATTTTGTAATTTGAACGTGCTACTATAGGCCTACGTGTATTTATTTGATCATGTTGATGATATGGAATTTATTCCATTTGTGTCATTGAGTATTTTTTGGTACATGTATGGGTGAAACATGTTAAAAAAGAAGCTACTTTTTTATTTAGATAGATAACAGCCACAATGTGGAGGATCCATCTATTACAAGTGTGTTTGGTTTTGATGCCATGCTGGTTTGCCCATGTGTTCTGTGATTCAGATGGTAAGGAGTAAATTTAGACACCTCTTTGTTGATTTAGCAGCATGTAATTATATATCTTTTTCAACATTAATTGTTTCAGTATGCATCATTTTATAAATCAAAAATTGTTTTTATCATTTATTTATAACACGTTTAAATTTAAATACATCAATTTATTTGATTTATTCACTGAGATAAATGTCACTGCACAATGTGCATGAAATAATTTGTAACTTTTAGCAATGAAGTTACTGATGAGGAAATGCTGTTTTGGTGTGTTTTTGTTCTATAGTTTTCTAGAAATCTGCACACAAGCACTTGTTTCATTAATAAATTTTTGACTCAAAGTATTATGATCGATAACTGTGTTATTACTATCATGATTATACTATGGGTCACAAAATTTATTACCAAAATATGCCTGTGAGTCTGCATCATTGTTTGATGCTTACGTACCCTTTCTTTCAGATTTTGAGTTTGAAAGCTCAGAGGCCACTTATAATACAGTGAGGAATACCACCATCTCCATTGCTTCTATTATTGGCATTATAACAGGACTGATATTTCTGGGAATTGTTATCGCCATTATTGTTATATGCTGTTGTTGCATGAAAGGTTAGTAACAATTACCTTTATTGTATGATATAATAAAGTTTCTAGCTAGGTTGATATTAAATTTTGTACCCTTACTCTGTCTCTGTGTATTAAGCAATCAAACTAATCATGCTTAGTGTGAAGTTATGATGAGCAAGAGTGCCTCTTTTAAAATTGTGAATAACCTTGCCTCTAAAGTTTAAAACATTAACAAAATTCAGTTGTTTGAAAGTTGTTACATGATACTCAGATGACTTATAAGGCCGTTGGTCCTCTTGTTAATGATAGATGACCAAACGAAAACATTAACAATGTTTATTGAAATTTTATCTATTTTTTTCTCCTGTATTTTTTTTACCTTAACAAAAGTACTCAGTGTGATTATGATTTTATTTAGGACGGCGCTCAGCTGGTCATGTATACAGACAACCTGGAAACCAGATGACTGTCACCACCACCACTCAGCAGTCCTACCCTGGGCAGTATCCTCCCCATCAGCCCTACAACCAGTATCCCCCGGTCCAGAATCAGTACCCCCCTCAGGGCTACGTACAGCAACCACCCCCACCCCAGATGGGATACCCACCTGTCCAGCAAGCACCCCCCATGACTGGGTCAGGTTACCCCCCACAGGAAAATAAAGCCTTACCCACAGGTTTGTACATGCAGATACTGATGTGAAAAGTTCATGTAGATGTATTATATGAGCCTTCCCTTTAAAAGATTCAGATGAAATACATTGATAAGGGAACTTATTTTAGTTTAAAATCAGAAAAGTTTTAATGCAAGTTTTTTTCTGTATGTACATGTAGTATAAACTAAAATAACTGACATAAACAAAGATACCTGAGTGTTAAAATTCTCTGGTACATTGTATAAAGTAAACATTGTATGTGTTAAAATTGTATGTACAGTGGACCTTCAGATATCCGGATGCTTCAGTATCCGGACGATTTTACATCGGAACAGATTTTTAAAAAGTTATTTTGTTTTGTTTAACTGGTAATTCAGATATCCGGATGCTTCACATATCCGGACAAATTAACTAAGAACCAAAGTGTCCGGATAAAAGAGGCTCCACTGTATTAAAATCACAGCACTATTGTATAGTTATAATTTTTTGTAGCACCCCCCGCAGATGATGATTACCCACCTTACCCAGCAACCCCCCAGCAACCCCCACCCTACCCTGGCAACTAGAAAGGAGGGCAAAGGTTTGTTTACAAGATCTGCACCCAATTGTGATATGTTTTTGGAAAGAGTCATTTTTTGTATTGTTTTAATAAAAAAAAGGTTAAAAAGTGGAACATTTACATGTCGATATCGAATATCCTGATTTTATTTTAAAGAATGTCTATTTAATTTGTATTTTTTCTTTTTATTTAATTGTGTACTTTATTTATTTATTAGATGTAGTTTACTTCTGCTCAAGTATTTTCATCCTTTCATACTTGACACAAAAACACATAAGGTCTGAAATTTTAAACAATTTCCTTTCAATACTCAAATTTTAATAGACCATGATATTGATTGATTTCCTAGTTTTATATTATTGATTTAATTTGAAAAAATATTAAATGAATACATTTACCATACATAACTTTTTGAAATATAATACTCAGTATTTTACTTATAGTTTTTTTCTTCTTTTCTGTAACAACAAAATATTATGAGCAGATTTGTGAACTCTTTATAAAAAATCCATTATAAATGTTTTCAATTGATTATAATAAAACTTTATTTAAAGAAGCTGACCTGGTTAGTGCATGCACAAATTGTAATGCATGTATCATATATACAATGTATACTTATATTTTTATTCCATTTAAAGAGCTAATCCTCAAATCTAATGTTAAACTTTATTGTTTTTTGTTGTTGAATAAAGTATTATAGAGAAAAGGATGTTTTAAAAAAAAGAACAGTACTTATAATATACATGTTAATTGTTAATGGACTCAACCAGGGAAGGGGGGATACTCTATTTAATGACCTAACCCCCCCCCCCCCCCCCCCATCAATTTTATATTTTTAAAAATACTGAATATCTTTTTAAAGCTTTTTTCTTGATTTTATCAGGTGGATAAGTTATTATGTCTTGATTCCTTTGAAATGAACAACATTTTTGTTAAATATCTATTTTTTGTGACTACTGGAGACATGTATCTAGACACACATTCATATTTCATAGATATCCCTTTTTTTAGTTCAGTTCTTTTAATACACACGGCATTACATGTATAAATATTACTTACTACTGTATAAAATTAGTGTATTTTTCCCTTGTTTGACTTTTTTTAAAAATTTTATTACATGTAATAAATTATTCTTAAAATAGTGTTGTTTACTTGGTAAATCATTTAGATTTCTTCAAGCAGACTATGTATAAAAATTATTACAAATACATGGATTTGACAATATTTAGTCAATCATATAAACACATTTTTTCAGTTTTATACCATGTAAAATTTGTATAATTATTTAAAACTACAGTAAGATCATATATATCTTAATGATGCATTTGACTAGTTGTCAAAAGTATGAAGAAACAGGGTTCTCCACATTTGAAAATTTAACCATAGAGGAAGCTGCGCGAAGGTGAAATGTGGCCGAAAACACTAATATATTTTAGACTTCCTAATCTTCATTAATCAATGATTGGTTTTACAATTTTTAAACTTACCCACTGCAACACAAAACAATGACATAACTAACACTTTTTAAAGTTAAAAAAATAATAATTAAATTGAAAAGGATTTATCCTGTATCTTACTTCACAAATGTACCAAAATTTGCCAAAAACTGTAGTAACCTTCTGAAGGAATTTATAGAAAAAATGTTATTACAGGTAGCAAGTAACCATGGCATTAGTAGATTATTAATTATAAGAATTGTAGTCTGTTGTATGAAATGTTTTGTTTCAATATGACTAAAACTGATGAATGGGAAGTGTTTTTTTAAGTTAACACACAAAAGAACATTTGGACCAGTGTCCTTTTATTCTAAACGTTTTATTTTTCTAGATATTGCATTAATAACCCATTTTTGTTTACTTCTCCATGTGTCCAGAGCTAAAAATAGTGCCACGAGACGTTTCAGAACAACGGGAAGTAACTCTAAAACTAAAACAACGATTGAGAACCAGGCCCCATGCACATTTTATCAAAAAGATAGTAAAGTTAAAGCTTAAAAACAGAGCATGAGAAATTGATTAAAAACAGAGGAATATTAAATTTTTACAGAGTATTTTTTCCTGGCTCAGAAACTTGAATCGCAAGCGTAACGATTGAGTTTGTAATACCGTACCGGTATTGTAAGCTTTTATAAAACCGTTATATATCTAATCATGTAGTGAACATGTTGAAGTTCCCAAAAAATTATTTACATGTGTACACAAAATAATTAACTCTCAATATATTGATCATCTGATTGACTCTCCATTGATTGTCACGATTCACAGCATAGTCGCTGATTAATGACGTGTTTGTTTAGCACCGTCCGCTTTCCTTCGAGGCATGCCAGGTGCACGGCAGTCATAGTAAAAGACAATTAACTACTCAAGTCTTTAAAAAGTAGGTGTCAGGACTGAAATGCAATAAAATGTAATCATGGCGGATGCCGATTTTGACCATGGTGCAGCTCGTTTAACCATGGCGCACATAAATTTAACCATGGCGGGCTGCCATGGTAAAACCCCTTGTGGAGAACCCTGAAGTAATACATTTTATAAATCAGTTTTGAGTGTTGAAGAATCTTGTTTTTTGTCTCAAAATATTTTTATAAGTTGTTTGTTTATTGTGTACCTTATGAAAGACATGTGCAATTTTTTTTAATCAAATAAATTGTTATATATGTATATATACGTACATTAATGTATGCTTCATTTGTATGAAAGAATTTGTCAGGTTGATATCAAAGTGTACAATCAAATGTCAGAACTAGCCACAGAAATCTAATCTAATGTTAATCTTTCAAATTAGTTTAACATTAAAGATGATTTTGGAAAAAAAAAATCATATAACAAGTTTTTATTTAATGTCATATACACATGCTAATTAAAAAAAAAAAAAAGTTAAATTAAAATTTAGATATTGGAAATCTACATTTTGATTTAAGTTTGTTCTCACTTTAATGTCTTGGGGCCTCTGCTTAATCTTCTTTCTATCTTTTAAGCATTGTTAGTAAACTCCAGTAATTAAGTATAACTTAAAATTAAATCATTATTTTTTTCAGGTCTTTGAGGATATGGTTTTAGCTTTGAAAATTTAAACTTTCTTTGATTTGTTATTGTAACCTTTCTTCAAAAATAATTACCACTACACTGAGAGAATTAGTTTTGTAATATGAAAAAGAAGTGTAATGCATAAAATTGTTTCAATTGATAAATTCCATAATATGCATACATGATTGTACATTGATAGAGTTTTATATAATGAATGTGAGAGATTTTGTTTTATTACATACACTTTTGTTACTAATTTCTTGCTTTATGTATTTTGTTGAAGTAATTTGTTTGCAGAATATTTTGTTTCTCTTACTACCCAAAAACAATGTTGAAATTGAATTCATTTAAGAAGGATTTAACTTTTAAATAATTTAACAATATTTTTGTACATGTGTGGAATGGTTATTGCATGATGATATATTTACTTCATGCAATAAATAGTTTATTATTTTTAAGTCAATTTTGCTATATTTCTAAATGTTTTTACTAAAGCAATGTATATTATGAACTGGATTGACTACACTAACAGACTTATTTGTATTATTAAGAATCTTAGATTTAAATTTGCTCAGATACTTTAAATCTCAATACATATTGAAAACAATATTTTTTGGGGGCACATTATTAAATCATGATCAAAACAGTCAACATGATACATAATTAAGTTGGCTTTTCATATATTCACTTAGTCATGTCAGATCTTTTTCTTTTTTTTTTTATTTTAAATTAAAGAGCTAGTGTTTCATGTACATAAAATTATTCTCATGATTAAAAAGAATTGTTATTTTATACAATAACGGTAATTTAATGTTTAGGAAAAAAATCACAAGGAAAATACTGTTTTATGTTGCAAAATTGAAAAAGAAAATAATGGATTGTAAACATGTTCCTTTTTGTTCTACCACTTTTCAAGCAGGAGTTAAATAACGATTGATAATTGAGAAAGGGTTTTTGATATATAAAGGGTGTTAAGAAAGTTCGTTCCACATTTTTCTTTTATTTTCGAAGAGAAATACGATGAGGAGATATTTACTATTTGTGATGTTTCATGTTTATAGACTCCATTCTTGTTACTGATAAGGTTTTAACTGTCCTTTGATGAATCAGTAAGGGGAGGGCAGGTATTAAAACAGATGATGTCTGTTCAGAAAAATTAAGGATGATGGATATTTGTGATATATATTAAGTACAGAGGTCAAAACATCCTTTTAAATACTATGCAAAAATTATCAAATCTGTGAAAATTTTCAAAATGACAAACCAATTCTTTTGAAAAGTGGTCTATCATTCTAATACCTATACGGTCATCAGCTTGTCTGATGCAAGATAAGCTATGAAGAAACAAAAATAATTATCCTTTATTCTCACTCAAAATGACCATCATTTCTATCATTTAAGTGTTTTAAATATGTTATTTATATTTCCATATGGAAGAAAAATCCTATAACTTCCTGCAAGAAATGAATTGCTATAAATCCAAAGCACGTTCTTGTGATTTTTTCAGAATTGAATATTCATCTCTTTAGTTAAGCACTACTTCGAAATTTTTGAAAATATTTCATTTTGGAACGAACTTTCTTAACACCCCTTACATGTGTGTATCTAGATGCCGCGGTAAATGCCATAGCAATGGCTTTTCATTTTATAAAGATGAAGGTTTTGAATAAATTAAGCCCCATGAGAATATTTATATTTAAAACTAGTATCCTTTTTGGGAAGCAAAGCTACATAAATATTTTGGATGGAGAACTCCAGCTTGTTTTGAACATATTTTATTGTATAATTTATACAAAGGGATTGGTTACAAGTTCTTGCAACTTAAAAAAATCCTTTCCCTGTAATATATACAATAATTATAATAAGTGATTGCCAAAATAACAATTGAAGGTGTAAAGTTATACATATACATGATGTAAATACTCCAGCTTATAAAAGAAGAAATATCTATTAGACAGTTTACTTGATTTTTACAAAGTAATTTGCACCCGGTAATTCACTAATTCACTCCAGTGTTACAACACACTTTGAAAAATTACGCACTTTGAAAAAAAAAATTATAAGTGCGTTAAATTTTGGACCTAATCAATG